CGAAAAAGTCTTCCCATGAAACAGATCCATCTGAGTCGGTTCCAGTGTTTAAATTAGCTCCTGAAAGTTGTTCGTTATCCATTGTTCTTGTCAATTGTCCAGTACATTGACAATGTAAATTTATCCACTGTTAAAACATAGCTCAACCTCAAATGTAACTCTCTCACACACAAAAGAGTTTAAATAATAAAATGTGTATACATTATTCACTCGGCTCTCAAGTACATTTTCATATTCGATGAAAAAAATAAACAAATGAATGAATGAATGAATGACTGGCTGACTTATAAAAAAAAACAAATCTTTCTCTTGTATTTAAATTTAGAAATTTATATTTTTATTACACGTTACACAGCTAACATATAAAATAATATGGTAAATAGTTTTTTAAAGGAAACAGAGTGCCTACGGTCCGTGCAATGACAATTGAATGGACAAAACATGACATGCACGCCAGACGACGCTCACTTGTTAACCGCACGGGCGCGCAGAGTAAACTGAACAGAAAACTCAACACTGAACACTCAACTGGGACTCGCGGCTCGTACTCGTAACTTATATCGTATAGTATCGGATTATATCGAGCCTCGGATATTGCTCTTGTGTTGCTCTTTACTTGCCGTCGACGCAACGACATGCGACTAACGACTAACTCGACACTACCACAAGCCGAGCTACTCCGATATATAGTTATAAACCAACTAAATATATACTATTTAATTATTAATTATACTGTCATTTAAATTATCATACATTATGAATTACATCTAAAAATAACTACAGTAGAATTTTCTTTTAGAGGAATTCAAAAACTTCCGCGTGAAGAATTTTATAACTTCCCGCTATGCAAGTCAATGATATTAAAAAAATCGAAAAGTCGAATTATTAAAACTCTAGAAAATTTAAAATTTCGCTACATTCAAAGATTATAAAATACATTAGCTTAAATAGCAGAATATCAGCCAAATATTTTGACTCCATATTAATGTAGGTTACTTGAGAATTTTTTGTGATTTTTAAATATTAATTTCTCAATAAATATCTCGGTAACTGATATATTTTATTGCAAAAAAAGAAACCTAAATATTTTTTCAAAAATTTGTTCGGTAAAGTATAATTTAAACCTCACTATTAGATAAATAAGGACTTCAACTATTAGAAAAAAATTTAATTTACTCATAATCTAATATTTTTTATTTTACATTGGCGGCGAAAGGACCTCCTTAATATTGTTTTACACTATTGTATAAAAATTTTTTGTATTTATCTTGGAGGGCCGCAAGGAGTCTTAGATTTGAGATTTAGATTTAGATTTTGTTTATTAATGCCAAGGCACAGGCCAAATGGCAATTTCTATTACATAGTATAATAATTTTTACAAGAAAACAATTTCTGTTTCTGTGAGTACATCATATAGTATTACATAAAAATTAAATTTAAATAATTCGTATATAAAACATGATAAAAACAAATTAAACTTAGAATTTAATATAGAAAATAATAATTTAAAAATATTCAATTTTGATGTCATCAAATTAGATGATAACTCAACATAATAAATCTGTAATTGCACTTATTTTATCCATATTTTAATCTTCAATCTTTAAAGTAATTAAGCTCAAATTTGTGATCTATTTGACGTCGTTTTAATTATCAAGATTTAATAGGTAATTGAAAACTTCTCTTTAAAGTCTTGACTCCATGGCCTTAATAAATAAATAAATAAATAAATAATAATAATAATAATAATAATAATAATAATAATAATAATATTCCTCAAGAGTTAGAATTAATTTGATTTCGAAAAAGGGTCGTTCAAAAAATTGGAAATTTTTCTTAGATCGTCCACCTTTACAAGCATGAAATTCGAGTGTTTTCCATACATGCTTGTAAATTAAAATAAAAAAATTAATTAATTTGAAATTAATTAAAATAATTAATTTTAAAAAATTTCTAATCTAAATATAAAATTATTTACATTTTTCGGCTAAATGAGTGTTCGCCTGTTCATTCATTTTGGCGTACAAATTTTCGTTGTAATGTTTTTTAATTTATTGAGACTGTGACTTTGAAAGATTCTATTAATATAGCTTTATTTTTTTCTTCATTTAAGATTATATTTTTCGGAATTTTAAAATTTGTAAAATTAATTATTTTAAATTACATTTAATATTTACTTTCTAAGTTCTAATCAGTTCTCAGTACGTATGTATGCATGTGTATGTGTGTACTCCGTATAACTTTTAAACGGCTTGACCGATCGAAACAGGGTTGGCAGCGTTTGAAGGAGTTTCGTTGCCATAAGATTATCAGTGAGTTTGAATCAAATCGGTTTGGTAGATATTGAGAATTCTCAAAAATCAAATTTAAAAAAAATGTATTTTTGGAATAACTTTTAAACTAGCGTATCGATCGATTCCAAAAACTAATCAGCTTTTAATCTCAAAAAAAAAGACATGGATTCCCGCAAACCGCATCAAAATTGGTCGAATCGTTTGAGAGATATTTTGATTTTAAAAAATTTCAAAAAAGTGTTTTTTTTAACACATCTTAAAGATTTTACGTCGAATCGTCTGGTAGGCAATTGATATAATTTTGTGCTTAAAAAACTGCGTCGAATGCTACAAGCCCCATCAAAAACGATCGTTTCGATGGGAAAATATCGCAATTTAAAATTTTCCAAAAAAGTATGTACCCAAGAGTCTCAAAAAAAAAATATTGACTTTTTGGGAGATTTTATTTAACAAGAAGTCAGAAATTTATAATTGTCAACTTAAATTAAACAAAACATTACCAAAACAATTTTTGTGCCGCTTGGGTATTTACAACCACTAAATTTTTGAGCTCTATGGATTAAAAAATTTACCGAGCGTTTTGAAGTCGTACATAGGGGGAAGTTCCAGCGATGGTCTGTCGGGTCAACCGTTTTTCAGATTTTTTTTTTTTATTTTTACGTGCATTTTTACCCAATAATTTTTTAATATTGAAATTAAAGATATTTGATTATATTTTAAGAAATGAAATATTGTAAAATTTAATGAGACTGAAATTAACAAACATCTGACAATCTTTTAGACACTCATAACAATTAAATTGTTATAAAAAAAAATTCACATGTAGGAATTATTAAAAATTTTTTTTTTTTTCAGTATAATTGCTATAAAAATTTTCAGATGTCTGTTGATTTCAGTTTCATCAAAATTTCCATTTAAAGTGTAAAAATTTTCATAGAAAAGTATTCGTTTCAAAAATTTGTATATATATATACTCATTTAGCTGTAACAAAAAAACCGAAAAATGTTTTAAATGTGTGCTAATTTCAATACATAATTTTTGGTTAATATATTTTTCTTCTAAAAATTATCTAGACATCTGGTAACATTTAAAGTTGAAAAAGGAAGTTATTGATATTTTAAGACGAGGTTTTCTAGGTATGAGTAAAAATTAAATGAAAAAAAAATAAAAGTGCAACGTGACTGTTGGCTTACAACCGCAACGCGGTCAAAGTCTTGTATGTACACATCACAAATCAACAAACTTGCCCAGAGTTGTCTAGCAGGCATGGTTTTATTATTATTAAAAGAAAAAAAAGGAGAAGCTAATGAGTTAATAAAAATGTAGATTTACTCTTTATGAAGATCGAGATGATAATTAAAACAGCAGACAGACATTTTTCATTTTTAAATATTGATAGAAAACAGAGCGGAAAGTTTATTAGAAAATTCAGGCAAGTATTTTTTAATTTAAATTAATTAACAAATTATTTACGTTCTTTCAGGCGATTGTGAAGAAATTGAAAAGTTTATAAAATAATATCTCTTATTATTAATGATGTAAAAAATCAATCAGTGAAAATTGTAAGCTAACTAATGATGGTCATTTATTTGATTGTGATTTATTTATTACATACGATAAATAAATTTCTATTAATATATTTATCGCAACAACTTTATCGATGAAGTAATTTTTGAATGAAGAAAACGGGAAATTATTATAATTAACTATTCTGGTAAAAATGAAATAATTGGTATACTAACGTAGTTCTTAGTAAATACGGCTATCAAAATTTCTTACCACTGTCAAATAAATTATTTTTTCAAGTATAAGTATAGAGGTACTTTTTTAGTTCTTTATTTTTTAAACATTATTATATATATATATATATATATATATATATATATATATACATTAACATCATATTTCCGCTGGTGAATGTTTCGTCTGGATATTTGTCGAGTTGAGGGACTTATTTATAGAATAGTACCTATGGTTTGGTATGATGTAAAATTAGGACGGAAAAAAAAAATTCGAGTGTACTAAAGAAATTTTTCTATATAATATTTTTATTAATATTTACATGAATAATAATGAGTAATTAGCATTTATCAATTTATTACGAAAATGTGATTCTTTTTTAAATTTTTACTGACCAAACTGATAAGTATAAATTTGATGACAATTATTAACAATTGTTGTTTGATAAATTTTGATTAATTGTATTAATTATTGAAGCGTGGTCAGTTATAAAAGTCATAGATGATAATGATTAAAATTTTAATATTTTGTTAAATGTTTATATTTATTATCATAGTATGCCAAGCGTAAGCATTTAATTATACGTTTCATGACTTTTAAGCACTATACCGACATTAATTAAATTTCCATAATTTTAGCTCTTTTTAATATCTAATTAACAATCAATGCGGTATAGATTATTTTCAAAGGGTTATTATATTTTCTTCACTATTTTTATGTTAATTTATAAGTATAATTATAATTACATTACCGCAATTCTTTTTCTTTTTTTTGAATTACAAAAAATAGTAGAATAATAATAATAAAAGCACACTTTAATTAATCGTTAATTAATTAATGACAACTATTTGATAAGATTAACTACTCAACAGAAAAAATTGATAATGTATTAAGAAATGAAACATACATAACTATTAAACAGTGATAATATAAAATAATTGAAATAATTCATGTCAACTCGTTAACTAATTAACTAAAAAAAAAAATACAAAAATAATTTTTTGACAATGTTTTATTATATAAATATTAAAAAAGAATTATCAAACGAAACTAAACAGATTTTTTAAAAATAAAAATAAATCACAATGATATATTATGAATACATAATAACGAAAATTTTTAAATAAATTAATAATAATAAAAATAAGTAAACGAAATTCTAAAATGGAAGTAGAATTATCGAGCTTGCTTAAATTAAATTACTGTCAGAATTACAATTCTAACAATTACACAACTATTGTTTTGATGGTTTTCAGTTGATCTTAATAATATATACAGACTTAAATGATCAATAGATAAAATTACAATGACAATAATCATAGTAGAAGTAATAAGATTAATAAACAAATGGAGATAATACAGTCTTATAAAAATTGGCGAGACATGTGTCTCAGGCGTGACTTATGAGAGAAGCATATTTAAGATATCTTTTACAGTAACTTGACAACGTTCCATAAACCCTCTTTACTTAAAAAATTATCCAATTAATTAATCGATTAATTAATTAGTCAACTTAAATATACAGTAATACTAGCTGTAAGGAAAATTATATTTTTGTTTCAAAACATATTATTAATTTATTAATTAATTTACGAAACTTGATTGTATTAAGAAATTTTTATAATCCGTACTGCCAACGGGTACGTTGATTTTTAACTGTTTTTTTGAGTATTGCAATAATAATAATAATTATATATTTTTTTATTTCAAGATCAGTTTAACAATAATTTAAGTAGATTCCAATATATAATTTGCCTCTTTATTTGTGACATTAAAATAAATAAATAATTATTATTTTTATTTTATCACTTACGTTTTTGTTGTGCCACACGCGAGCGAGTTAAACGCGGGGATATTGTCGTGGTTTTAGCCGTATTGGATTGTTTATTTCTTTTTAACTGAGCGACTTCTTCCATCGCTGGTGTCATCCACTTAACTTTTAATTCATGACTGCAAATAATAAATTCATAAATTAATAACGTAATTTAAAACAAGTATTACAATTAAGAAATGGCCATAAAATTATTTAAAATTTCTTTTATAGTTTTATAAATATAATATCTTCTCTGAAGCTCATAATTGTCTAAAGTAACGCGTTAAATAGCCTTGTAAATATATTTTTTGGAATAAATATCCTTGACATTGAAATGCAAGCTGATACTATATTCATGTAAAGTGTCATAGAATATGAAACCCATCTAAACATTTTACGGTTTTGTGAACGCGAAAAAATTAACGCCTTCGAGCGTAGCAGTAAAAAAATTTCTACGAAGGCTATGACTTAGAATTTTTTTTTTTTTATGACCATTTGTATATAAATAAAAGATGTTTGCGTCAACTTACTCATACGACTTAGATTTTTGTTTTAATACGCCAGACTGCCGATCTTTCATACGTTGAATAACGTGGAGCATAGCGTAAGTTGGTAAAGATGGTGGTGAGGGTAACAATTGTGGGGGTGGAGACGGTGGCGGAGTTAAAGGTGAGTTTATCGGTTGAACAATAACTTTAGCAAGTTTATCAGGATGACGTGCTAATACCTCTTCCCAGCAAAACTCCTCAACTTCAATACCTGATTGTGTATTTCTTGTTATTCTTCCTTCTCCATTAACTGGCTTACAAGGTCTTCGTTCTCTTAAGTATGGCATTTTTATGGGCCTTTCACATGAATTATTTTCATCGGAAATTCTCTTACGGCGTACTGTCGACTGTGGCGTGCGTTCTATTTTACCACCACGATTAAATAAACTTCGTAAATATGAATAATTTGGTTTCGCCTCGAAATCCAATGATGCAATGTACTTCATGTATGCCATTATCGCGGCTATAACATATATATAAATATAAATTTTATTTTTTTTTTAAATAAACTCAACTTGATAATATATAATTATTTATGTTAAATTAAATGAAATGCATTATTTACAAGGATTTCATGGTAATTATATTGATAAACTTTAATATTTACCCGGAGGTTTATTTTCAGGAAAACATTTTCGCATGAAGAGTGGAATATCTGATAAAAGTGCTTCTTTTTGTGCGTGAACTTCTTCTGGATTACAGGACGATCTCATGCCGCCGTCTTCTTTTTCCCAAGGTAATTTACCACATAACCATTGCAATATATTGTAACCTAGTGTTTCCATATCACCTCTTCGTGAATGAGCTAAAAGAAAAAAAAAAAAAGTTGTAAAATACCAATTAATTTTATATTTAAAAAAATCTTGGATAAAAAATAAAATATTTACTTCCATGATGAGCATCTCTGGATGTAAACTCTAAAGTCCCTTCATGAGCCCGTCTTTCATCATGTACAAAAGGTTTGTGTACACCCGCTGCTGTTTTAAATCGATAAGCTAATCCGAAATCCACCAAGTACGCTCGAGGATTATTCGATATTTGTCCATTGAGTTCCAACACAATATTCGATCCTTTGACGTCTGCGTGAGCGTAACCGTGACTGTGAATGTACTCTAGTGCGTCTAGCTGTTGTTATAATAAAAAAAAAGCAAATATTTAATGATCAGTGTGATAGAAAACAATCTTTATCTGTTAATATTTGATTTTATGTTTAAAATACTCACCATCTGAACGGCAAGATTGTTGACGAGTTTAGTGTGTAATTTACGTCCACTGGATACAAATAATTTACCCACATCAACTCCGTAACGAGGAATTACAAGAAACCTAAATCTTTCCCCTTTCCACACATGAGATCCTGCTCCTTCGTAGGTCGGTATTCCTATTCGACTTATTTTTTGTGATTGACAATAGTCTTTAACTAAAATTTAATTATTTATTAGTTATTGAATGTGTTTCTCAGATAAATATTTAATTAATGTAAATATTAAGGACATATCTATTCGTACGTAAAAAAGTCCTGATAAATCCATGCCACGTGAATGTAAGGGCTTTAAATCCACGCTGCGTGGATTAATCAGGATTTTTATACGTGCAAATAGACACTTCTAAATATTAAATTTAAATTGATGTCCTTAAAAAATATTAGAAATAACGACACTAAAGTATTTTGTGAAGATAAAATAAAATGAAAATTAATTTAGCATATATTTAATAATTTAAAAAATTTTATAACAAATAAATTATGGCAAAAAAAAAAATTAGAAAAAAAAATTGACATGTAGAAATTAAAAAAAATAAAAATGCAATTTTTTAGAAATAATTTTTTGGAACAAATTTTTTTGATAAATAAAATTAAAAAATTGTTAAGTGTCTGCTAACTTTAATGTCATTAAAATAAAATATAATAATTAGTTAATCAATAAAATAAAAAATAAAACTTACTCATATGTTGACGAGCAACTCTAATATAAAAATTCATTTCTACAAAAAGAGGGCCGTTATGGTGAGGTTCAATTTTAATGACATATTTGGCATCTTGTCCAACAGTCTTGTTAACATCATCCGATGCTGAAAAAAATATAAATGATTTATTATTTAGATATTTAATTATTCAAACACGTGGCTGATTAAAAAACACTTAAATAAATGATAATGAATTATGATGAGATAATTAAATCAACAATAATTACCGAGATAAATATCACCAAAGCCTCCGCAACCTAATCGTGATCCTAATTTCCACTCTTTTTGCGTAATATCAGTCAAAATTTCACCAGAAGGTAAACGTGCTGGTAAACGACATCCTGGAGCAGCGACCCGCTTCAAAGGACACTCTTCTGCGCGACGAGGTGCCATTATTGAATTTTAATTAATTAAAGACAACACTAAAACAGTCCATAATTCCTAAAAATATAAATTTTAATTAACTGATGTTTTTTTTTTTTTTTTTTCTTTAATTTGTTTAAAGTTGCATAAACTACTAAGGTCATGAGCGACTACTATAGGGGGTAAACTTTTTGAGATTGGAACTCGTTTTATTTCTTGGGCTGAGCAGAATAATACACTTAAATATTGAAAATATTCATTGGTGTACGCCGGACTCGAATCCGATCCAATGCTTTGGTAAGCAAGGGCCGGATCCGATAGGCTACCGCGCGCCAATTTAACTGATGTTAAAAATTAAAATTATTTGATAGAAGAAAAAAAACAAACAATTAAATAAAACGTCAACTTTTTTTTCCAAATACAAAATCGATAACAAAAAATATAAATAAGGTATTACGTCTCTCAAACTGGAATTACAACACAAAAACAATAAAAGTATTTTATACAATACTCGATTGTCATTTTAATTAACGAAGTGTCATATTTATAAACCACTAAAATACTTATTTAATATATTTCAATAATATATATTTATTTTGTAATTAACCGTAAAATATTTACCCATTAGTATGTATCAAAAAAACAAATATTAATGTAAATAAAACATTGTTTAATTACTGCAGTATGGCATGTATTTTAAAAAGAATTAATTTGTTTATTTAAATTACTATATATAGTATTAATGTAGTTTTTAAATCGCGCTTTTTATTATTTTTTTAATCTACACAAATATATATACATAGCCAAACAGTATATATCTGAGATACTAGATTTCTGCCATTTTACACTCAAGCACTTAAGTAAAAGTGACATGAACGCTAGGTTCAAGACAATCAAATAATCAGCTGAACTGAACAAGAACCCGGCGTATTGACCATTTCTTTTAGATACTTGCTTTATTTTTTTGGCAATAGATGACGCAGTGATTATAATATACCGTATCCCACTTCTCCTGGTGGATATTGCGAGAAATTAAATCAAGTAAAAGCTTTCGACGTACCGACGTGGTCTTTAACTCGCCCGGGAATATTTAAATAAATTCAACTGTGTAAAAAAGGGAATTTAGAGAACGAGTAAAAATATAACTGATGAGAACTTACGTAAATAGATGAGACGAATTTTCCGTTTAAAATGATCGGAATGTATATTGTCTATTTAATTTTACGCTAAAATAGCAAAATTCGTAAATCGTAAATTTATTTAATATTTATAACTCAATCCTCTTAACTATTTTGTATTCTTTATGAAAATAAAGTTAGCAGACATCTGACAATTTTTAGAATTTTTCTGATTGAAAAATTTATAATAAAAAATTTTTCTTAAAATATTTTTTTAGTTATAATTTAATGAATAATAAAAAATTGTTAAACGTCTGCTAATTTCAGTATTATCTACATCCAACAAAAACTATGAAATTGATCGTATCTCAGAAAATTCGACTAATTGACTTTTTTTGAAAAATAAAATGATAATAACAATATTAAGCAAATCATATGAAAAATTTAAAGGTAAAATTGTTTAATAACTATTTTTAATTAAATATTTTCAGTCATCGAATCTCATTTCATCAATGTTTTAAAAATGAATTTTTTACTACCATCTGCTGTAAAGTTTTCTAAATGGGAAATACACGTGTATACGTCGCAACGTACACATTATAGAATGGCATGATTATGATATGCCCTCTTATAAATTCGCTCCTTAACCAAGTTAATTTCTCTTCATCGGATTGAACCAGAATATTCACCTTTAGTATCAGAAAAACTGTATCTAATGAAATATTAGTTGGTTATTATATTAAAAAATATTGAATATTAAATCACGCGCTATCAAAGGCATGTCTTTGTAAAAAAAGGCCAATTTGATTGTGAATGATTACTTTTATGTTAGCAACAATAATTTTTCTACACTTATCGAATATTAAAAAAAAAAAAAAAAAAAAAAAAAAAAATAGGTATTTAATATCAATTCAAATTTTTTAGACAAAAATTTTTACGTTTTCGTTTTTGGCGCCACTTTTTGCGCGGCGCAGCAAATTCAAATTTTGAAAATCAGTTTCTAGAATATTCTTATGAAATTGAATAAATTATTAAATAAATAATAATTTAAATAAAAAAATTCGAAACGCTCAAATAAAAGACCACAAAAGGAATCCTTTTATTCGAACGTAATAAAATTTTCATCATGCAATAATAATATTAATTTTGCTTAGTCGGCAATTACCAAATAAGTAACTGATATATTACCAACAGTTGGTTAAGAAATGAAAATGTGTGGTTATAATTTTTATAGGGACACTGGACACTCTCTCTGCCAATGAGATTCTTCCCTCGTATTCACGACTTGATCCCTTACTGAGACACGGTATTGGTAATGGAGGCAAGATCACAATTATAATATAAAACGTATAATAAATATATTACAGCAAGGGTGTATTAAGTGTTAATAATCATAATTAACAGTTAATATTGTTTATCAATAGTAATTGTGAATATTAAAAAATGATTTTAGTGTAAAAAATTAATTAATACAATAATAACTGTAAAAGGTGAGTTACTGTAATTTATTTAAATTAACACATCGCTATCTATTTAATGGTTAGGTTGCTATGGCCTCCATTAAACTTGAGCTTGAATATTTTTTTGCTACAAGCTCCGAAATTATTTTCCACCATCAATACGATTTTTCAACTTTCGTAGCTTCTTGATAGATAATAGCGTCTTGATTAAATGGAGTTTTATAGATATATTAATAAGCTGTTTGTTTTGGAGCTTGCTTGTTTCAAAAGGACGCGTGTCAAGATGTCATACATTGATTTTGATAAATCCACTCATTACCTTTTATATACAATCAAAACATATTAATAGTTTATTATTTTATTTCAGTTTTACGATTGATAGGAATTTTCAATTAATTGACAATGTCATATCCTGGACAACCACCGATGGGCATACCTGGTATGCCACCAATGCCATACATGGTTGGTGCTCCACCGCCTATGCTTGGCAGTGTAATGCCAATGCCACATGTAAGTAATATTTTAAAAATACATTTTTCATATATATGTATATTTCGTTTGAAGTTATATTTTCGTCTTTTATATTACTTTTTTTTATCACTTCAATATATTATAAATAATTTATTCATAGCAATGGATATTGAATTTATTTATTTTATAGAATAATAAAAATAACAGACGCTTGTTTGGAAAAATTTTTAGAACAATGTTAGAAAATTCTTAAAATTTATTTTTTCAGATTTTTATTATAAAATTTTATTGAATTTTCAAATTATGTTGAAGTGATGATTTTTTTTTTTTATTTCAATTGGTATTAAAATTCTTAATTAGAACAAAAATTTTTTTATAATAAATGCCATGTTAATTAGATGATACCAACGCCTGTATCTGCTATGCAAACATCAGCACCAGCAGTACGTTACACGAGAACCCAGCAACAACAACAACAGCCGCAGCAAGCACCTCGACCAGAAGCACCAAAGCGCCGTGAACGTGAAAATGGTCCAGCGGTTACTGTTTTTGTGGGCAATATTATGGAGCGTGCGCCCGATATTATGATAAGACAAATTCTGGGTGCCTGTGGTCATGTAGTATCGTGGAAACGTGTTCAAGCTTTTGGATTTTGTGAGTACGCTGGTCCAGATGCTGGTTTACGAGCCGTAAGACTGCTTCATGACATGGAAATCGGTACAAAACGTCTAGTTGTTAAAGTCGATGCTAAAACAAAAGTTGTGCTCGATCAATTTAAAGGTAATTTTATTTATTTGGTAACATATTTTCTCAAATTATTATTATAAATAATTAAAATTGACTAATTTAATTTATTTTATTAATTTTATGTAGCCGAGAGAAGAAAGAAATTAAAAGGCGGACAATCGCCTTTGCAGGATGAAACTCCAAGTGAGAATGCTGATGGTGACGACAGTGATGATTACATGGATGAAGGAATGCGTGTTGTTGATCAGGATGCATTAACTCGTATTGCCCAGGTTATTAAAGAACATGCTACTGAAATAGAAACAGCCCAAGCTGCTGCTGGTAAAATACTTGAATTATTATTTATTTTATGAGATATAATTTATGATCGCTCTCATTATTAATTAATTATTTTTTTATTTTTAAACAGATGCGAGAAAGTCAGAGGATTTGTTAAAATCAAAGGGATTGAATCTCGATGACGCTGAAATAGAAGAAAGCAAAAGAGACTTGATAACACGTGAGATTGGCAAATTCAGAGAAGTTATGAAGGTAATTATCATTCTTATATTCTGTTATTCACGCAATTATTATCTATTTTGTCTTACTATAACTCTAAATAAGAATTCGTAAAATTTTTTTTTATTACGTTGAATTTTTCACGCTTAGTAAATTGAAAAAGTATTTCACGTATTTGAATGAATCGCAATTTTAATTTTTTTACTCTTTCACGAAACCTAAATTCCGCGATAATAAATACTAAATTGTAATCTATTTGAATTTGAAATGTGAAATTTTAAGCTGACATTTGAATAGCAAAGCAATGTTTACTATTCAACTGTTAATTGAGCTTCACTTTAAAGGACTGGAGTTAAAAGTTAACGGTGAGACACAATATATTGAAATACAGATGTATTCATCATATATGTACATTTATATTAATATTATTATTATTATCATCATTATAATTATGATAATTTGTTATTCGTAAGTGGTTGATGGTGAAATGTGTGTGTGTGTGTGTGTGTGTGTGTGTGTGTGTGTGTGTGTGTGTGTGTGTGTGTGTGTGTGTGTGTGTGAGATTGTTGTAAGCTTTGTTCGATGAAGCGGTGATTCGTTGCTGTAATTATAATAACAGGCCGCGTGAGTTACACATACAAGAGAATACTAGGAATGATATGATGCAGTGTGTGGGAACATCACTCCCCATACAATCACCCACTCATTTGGCTCTGACGGGAGTCAATTGCAAGTACATCCCTGTTATTTTGTGTCAAGGCAGCTGCAGCCTTTTTGGTAAGTCAGAGTAATTATGCACCAAAAAAAATCTGAAAAAAAAAAAATTATTTTAAGGCCGTGTCATAAAACTAACATCAAGTAATTTTATTATATTTTTTAGTTAATTAAATTAAATACTTTAACCATTTGTTTGAAAATAGTATCTAATTTTGTTCACTGATAGTTTGCTAATAGCTTTTTTTGTTATATTAATCGATTTATTATTTTCTGTTTCTAATTCAGTAGAGTAAAATTATTAAACGACTTGACCGAATATAACAAAGTGGATACAATAGATTCAAGTTATAGAATTAGCTGTTTAAAAAAAAAAAAGAAAAAAAATATACAAATATAGTTGAGACTGTTGAGTTGTGTTTATTTTGTGTAAACAGCTTTTCTGTCAGCGTCTCGATCAGATACATGTAGTGTACCTAGGTGTCTTCTTCTCCATACCACCCTACTACGGTACTACACCATACCACACTGACTGACCAAGTCGACTTACAACACTGTGAGTAAAATTGACAACCATCAACCAACCATGATAATTAAGTAACCATCCGGTTGTTTGTTGTTTGTTATAATTTTTTTTGCTAGTGTTACTGCTCAACTCACCTCAGTCTCTGATGGACACTGATAAATTTTATTTTATTTTTTTAGTTTTTTCATCTATTCATTATTAACTAAAATCATAAATTTTTCACTCATATGTGCACTTTTTTCATAAATAATTATAGACGATGCATTATTACATTACAGTTATTTAAATAATTAGAAATATTTTTACGTAGTTGAATTTAAAAATTTTCACAAGAAAAATTTAATACTGCATCGTTAAAAAAAAATAATAAAATTAGGTGTCTTATTAACTTATTTTTTATCATATAAAAAGCGTGAATGGTTTTAAAAAACGGGAAAAAAAGCAATCGTGCATTTAATCTTCAACAGTTGGCTGGATCGTCTTGAGAAGGGGACAATTACGAGAGAACAATACGCGAGACACGTTGGAATCGGTTGGAAATCGGTTGATGTCCATGATACATAATTGAGTGAGTGAACGTCTACACTTCGTTTATCAATCGGTATAATCAATACATACATATTTATAATAATCAATAATAATTATTAATAGGCATTTAATAAAATAGGTGCACTGACAATGTTGTAAGTACATTGTGTGGCCTTATTCTTTATTTTATATAAACTAAGTTATACATACATAAGAAAATTATAAACGAACCCGCTTACTTAAATATTTTATGAAAAACAATAATATTTATGCTGTACAAAAAACATCATGCGTATATCTTAAAAAATTTGCACCTAGGTTGAATTTGGTTTGTTTACAAGAATAACGTGTAAGATGCTGCTGCTGGTGTAAGCTCCAATGGAGTGAGTATACTATTAAACCAAACAAAAGAAAAAATTTAATAATGTCAATTGTAATAAATATATATTAATGTTAATCATTTATCAATGATATAATTAATTTTTAATTTATTTATTATGTGAAGCAATCGTTTTCTTTACTTATAAACTAAATCAATTCTTTTTCTGGTTCAGATCATTTTAACTTTCACTGAGGATCATATTAATTATTTTTTTTATACTTTTTTATTTTCCAAATTTTATTTTAGTGACAAGTAATTAACTTTACGATTGCTAGTTATCTCTTTTTTATTTTAATTTAATTTTTTTTTCTTAATGATGGTGAATAATTATTTATTTGATAACACTGGATTAATGTTTGGATATTTGATTGTATTTTTTTAGAAACAAGAGGAAGAAAAGGCTCAGGTTAAACGAAAACGTGAAGCTGTTGAAAAAGAGGAACGTGAAAAACGTGAAAGAGAAAGAAAAGACAGGAGAGGTGACGATGATGGTAGAGAAGAGCGGGATGGTGACTTTGGAAGCCCTGTTTCGCATAAAGCTCATAATGATCGGAGGGACAAACGTCGATCCAAGTCTAGGTAAATTTTTTTATTTTTAATTGCAATCAGTTTTAATTAAAAAAGTAAAATTGATTAAAAAAATTAATTTCAGATCTAAGGAGCGTGAAAGAGATCGTGACCGAATGCGAAACGACAGAAATCGTGAGCATAATCGTGATCGTGAAAGAGATCGTGATCGTGAGCGTGAACGCGATAGAGACAACAGAGGTGATAGAAATGACAGAGATCGTGAACGTGATCGTGAACGTGAGCGCGATCGTGACAAAGACCGCGACAGAGACCGTGAACGTGATAGAGAGCGTGAAAGAGAAGAGGTGAGAAAGAGTGAGCGTGAGATAATGCGTGAGCACGAGGAAGAGGAAGAAGCTAAAGAGCGTAAAAAAATTGAGAGGCGAGCAAGAGAAAAAGAAGCTGCGTATCAAGATCGACTGCGCCAATGGGAGGGCCGCGAGCGTCGCAAGCAGAAAGAGTATGAAAAAGAGTTAGATAAAAAGCGCGCCAAACGCGAGGCGAGGGAAAAAGAAGCGACGCGTTTGAAGGAATTTTTGGAAGATTACGATGATGATCGCGATGACTCAAAGTACTACAAGGGTAAAGAATTGTCGCGGCGACTTGAGGAACGAGCTTTAGAAGCTGAAGCTGACTCACGTGATCGGTGTGCAGAGCGTCAAGAACTTCAACGTCTCAGGGATAAACTTTATGCTGACGCTTCTCATCCTGATCCTGCTGCCGAGTTTGAGCGAGTAAGTTGGACTTTACAGTTTAACGTAGTTAATTATTTTCTTTCAGTTTAATTTGATAAGTAAACTGATAAAGTTCTCAAGTAACTTAGTAATTATAAAGTTGTTAATATTAGTTACACGTTTTAAATGCCACAAAGACATAAGCTATGTCTTTTTTATTTTAAAAACACAATTGTTGATTTTTTTTTTTTTTTTTTTTTTTTCCAGTTAAAAGCTGAGCGGGAAGAGCAGTATAAACCGAAACCAATTATTACGATAATTGATGAAGATGATGAAAAAATAGAAAAAGGCAAAGACGGAGTGATGCCGCCTATTGAAACCGAGCCGATTGACAGTGACAGTGATGATGATGTACAATTCGAAGAAGCGCCGCTGCCAGAACCCTCGAGAACTCCACCACGTCATCATCATCACCATAGACGGCATCACCGTCATCATCAAAATCACCATCGTGACTCTGATAACATTGACGGAATGGGCTCTGAACAGAGCAGAGATGGTACTAAAGACAGACGTATTTCTTCCCCGGGTATTCAGGTGATAGGTACACCAACTCAGCCACCACCGACTCACGACGAGGACTCGAGGATGTCATTGGTCAGCGAACCTGAGAAAACCAGTGGCAGTAACTTTGTGCCATTCGCTATGGGTGGTAGTGGTAATCGAAATTCAGATCATAACTCTGGTAATAAGACACCTGCCAGTCCGAATTCTGCTAATAATCTACAAAGTGCCCAGCAAGCTAAAAAGAAAACGCGGATGGATGTCAAGGATGTTTTTAATAATGACGACGATGATGATGGAACGAATAACTCGAAAAAACGTAAACTTGTACCTCTAGGTAATTATCATTTTTATTTTGTGGCTCGTATTGATGTTGAGTTTATTTGTTTATTTATTGTTAATTTTTAGACTATGGTGAAGAAAAGAAGAAAAAAGGTGGTGATGACTCGAGTAAAGGAGGTAAAGAAGAAAGCACGAAAAGTCAAGAAGAAAAAAGAAAGCACATTAAATCTCTTATTGATAAAATACCAACTGATAAAAATGCTCTCTTTGGTTATCAACTCGATTGGGCGGTTATAGATAATGTAAATTTCTATTTATTATTTAAGCTTACGAAAAAAAAAAAAGATATTAATGATTCGTATTTTTTTTTATTTTAGACACTAATGGAAAAAAGAATACGCCCGTGGATAAATAAAAAAATAATAGAGTATATCGGTGAACCTGAGCCAACATTAGTTGATTTTATTTGCAGTAAAGTTATGGCTGGCAGCTCGCCACAGGGTATCCTCGATGATGTACAAATGGTAATTATCGTTGTATATTTATTCATAGAACGTATTAACTTTCAATTAAATCATATCACATAATTTCATCGATTAAATAGTATTAAATATTTACATGACTTGAATCTATTTTCATTTGAAATTTATAGGGACAATTATAAATTCATTAAATCTTAATGACTTATTGATTGTTATATTTTATCGAAACAAATGTAATAATGTTTGTTATTCGTAATTGTTTGACGAAAATTATTGCTCGATGAAAATAAGTTTTAAGTATTTAAATATTAAATTTTGAATAAATACTGTTTAATTAAATTAAACACGTTCATTAATAGATCATAAAAAACTTTGTTTCAGGTATTAGACGAAGAAGCTGAAGTGTTTGTGGTAAAAATGTGGAGGTTATTAATCTACGAAGTTGAAGCTAAAAAAATGGGCTTAGTTAAATGAATCAATAAATTGTAAAAAGGACAAAAATAATCAATAATTTAAAGAAATAATTGAAAATAGAATTTAATTACTCTTGACTTGGATTTATATACTAAGAAAATGTTTTTCTTGTACGATGTAATAATTAGATACTATATACATACATAAATTAAGATTAAAAAGAAAATTAAAAATAACTACGGACATCTTTTATTAAAAATTATAAACAAAAAATTAATCAATTTAGCTTTTAAATTGTGACAGTTGCGACTTAATTGTAAGATTTACTATAATTATGAATACGCTAATGATAATTGATAATAAAATATCATAATTCACCTTTAATGCTCTAAAAGGATGAAGAAGAAAATACAATTTGCATAATGCTTTATACACAATTCAATTTATTTATTTGTTACAATTTTTCTTGACTTTGAGGTCAATCTTATGTTGTACATTAACTAAAAATATAAAATTTCAAATTTAAATACTATTACAATATACTTATTTTGTATTTAGTAGTCTTTGATATAAAAGTAGTTAGTCATAAAAAATAAAATAACAATACCGATAAAAGGATCGGGGCAAGGATAAAAGAAACAAAAGCGATACTTGTTACATTTAGCAGCAAGTTGAAAATATAAAAGTACTTGTACCGCGCAGTAGACACATTTAATATAAACGTGTCGACAATAAATTGTGAACTTAAGTAAGGATCTATTAAACACTCAAAAAGCTTTTACATACTCAACAACAAACAATACCCGATGTCAATCCTTATTTTTATGTTACAACTGTTATTTAAAGGTGTCAAGAGTGGATCATAAAGAGCGATAACGTATTTTCATACTTATATATATTAAGTGGAGTTGTAGATTAAAGGGAATTGTTGGAGAATATTAAGGGACTGTCAAACATTAAGTCTGAGGAAGAAGAAGAAGAAGAAGAAGATAAGAGCTGAAGGGGGTAAAAATTGAATTTAAGATAAATTATTATGTATTCATATCAGGTACATGTCAGTGGAAAAAAGCGAGATAGGTATCTTAAAGAAAAGTATAAGATGGAATCATAAGGGATGCTTCGGGACTTGATAAATAGGTAAGACCGATACCGGAAAAATATGATGGTAAGCGACGGAAGCTGAAGGAAGAGTTTCTTCCTGTCGAGTCTGTAATTTTATTATCCACTTTATTCGTTGAATTTACTCGCTAGTGAATGAAGATTCAATGAACAAGGCGGTGAAGAGGTAACGAGAGTACTGTATAAATTAACAGTAGTATGAGAAAGAAGGTAAACAGAGAGGGTAAGTTATAGTTATATTCTTGTTGGTAATCTGAAAATCACATTTTACTTCGATGGTTCTTGAATAACCGAGTAACTCCGGCTCGTGGTACTCCTTGCATCACAATGAGTAAATGAACATTCATAACGCGTAACTCCTCAGAATAATTATTTATATTTTGTTTTGTAAATAGAGTTTTTGAATTTATTGAGTCGAGTCGTAGTATTTTTTGTCAATTTACTGAATGAATGCTTTTAATATTTATATTTTATACAATAAAGGTGTATTTTTCCTTTTTTGATCAATTTTATTCCATACAATCAATAAGTAATATTTATTTATTGTAATTTTGATTTAATTAAAAAAGAACATATTTTTTTAATATCTTTAGAGTGGCATGGAGTTAAAAATCAAATTTTTGTTATTTTTAATTCAAAATAAAATTTATCCACATGAAATTACGATACTGAAATTGAGAGACATTTGATAATTTTTAAAAATTTTTTGCTACTAAATTATAGCAAGAAAAATTTATACCAAAAATTTCATCTTTAGAAGCTCTAAAAAATTATAAATGCAATGTTATAAAAACAATTTTCTAGACCTAGTTTATCATTGAAGAAAAATTAAAAAATTGTCGGGTCTACCAATTTCAATGTCGTATGAAATTAGCTAGAAAATTTATCATCAATAGTTTTGTTTTCATTTATTAATTTAACTTTTTCGTTTAATATATTACATTAAAATATTTCAAATTAAGTACCGAATTCTTAACTATCGATGAATTGATCGATATTAAGTTTCGCGCTTGTCGCCATGACAGTTTATTGTTGCATCGTAATTCACACCGGTCGGATTTGCTCGTGCTTTTTATGCATTTTTAATAATTAAAATTGATGTAATTATATATTTTTTATGCATATTATTGTTATAATTAATTCGGAAATTGCTTGGACATAATAAGTTAATCGAGACATTTTCGCAGTTTATTAATATAGCTAAATAATTGTTAGGTCAACACAAAGTTTTGATAATTATCATAAAGTTAGCTGTCACTTGATCATTTTTTAATTTTATTTAAGAAAAAAATTTTTTTTTTAAAATTGCATTTTTAATCTATTAAATTTTCTCAATGTCAATTTTTTTTTTCTCATTTTTTTATCCAGTCACTTATTTATTAGAAAAATTATTAAATATCTGCTAAATTTAGAAAGTTTCTTATGGTGCTATAATATATAATTTTCAAAGTAATACATATAAGATATCAGATAATTGCGTATAAGAAATTAAATGTTATTAGAAAAACGATCACTATTCTTACGTATAATAGTCCTGATAAATCTACAGCGCGACAGTATAAGACCCGTAAATCTATTGCAACTAAATAAATGGGGCTCATATTTACGCGGCTTGATTGTAATAAAGCTCTTAAATTCCCAGTATGTGGATCTATCAGAACTTTTTTACGTATAAATTGAATTTTCACTCGATTTAAAATTAGCAGGGGTATAAAAAATTATATTAAAATTAGCCGACGTTCAATAATTGTCAATTTTTTTTATTAATTAAATTAAAAGTAAAAAAATATTTTTAAAAAATTGCACGCATAATTTTTTAAATTTTCTACATATGAAATTTTTTGTTTGATTTTTTTAAAATAATTTTTCAATTAAATAAATTATAGAAATTTTAAGATGTGGGCTAATTTAATTTTCATGTATGAAAATTATTTGTTTAACAAAAATTTTATATTTGTTCTAAAAATTTTTTTTAAAATGATAAAAGTTTTTGGAGTTTTTAATCATCGTTGTCTATTGAATCCAGTAAATTTAATAACTGTAATGGTTTTTTATTCATACATTTTCATAAGTCGAAGATTAATATTACTATATTATAATCATTATTTCAAGTTTATCAAATATTCATGGTATTATTTAAATTTAGAATAGACATCTTGATTGAAGTAAAGTCCATTAAAGCTTTTCAAAAATTTTACCCGTTTCAAAGATTTTAGATTGTAACGAAATAAAATTGTTCATACATAAAAGTTAACATTTGTCTTTTAATTATTCAGATTTTCTTGAATATTTATTGACAGTATTACGATATGGTATTAAAATTTTTAAATATATTCATTTTTATATTTCAAGTTACAATAACCTATTTTTTATTATGAAAAATTCGATATTATTTAAATTAATAATTCATTATCTAAAAAAAAATCTTCATTTAGTAACTTTATCATTTATGCTCAGTTATAATAAAATGATATTGAAATAGATTTGATCGATTATACGCTGGCCAATATATTTGTTACAGTAAATAAAAATTTTTATGCATGCATGTACATTTATTAAATTTTGTTATTCTTTTATTTTCAAGGTGAAACATCAGGAGGGAAAAAAATTTCAAATAAGTAAATACTATTTTATCAAAAGGTATGCATTCACTTTGTACACGATTTTACGGTTGCAAACGTTAGGAAACATTTGTCAGGCGAAAAAGCCCGACTGTGAGTAATATTTCTTTTCTTGATCTTTGAGAGGCTTAAGCTTCTCTCACTCTTTCTTTATATCTACATACATATATATTTGTATACATGTGTGGATCTTTAGAGCTTTTAGGGAATATATAACTAAAGTACTAAAATAGATAAACTAAAGATTTTTATGAAATGAAAAAAATATTCACTCGAGTATCACCTTTTTATATTCACATATTATTTCGAAAAGACTACCATATTTATAGTTTAACTATACTTGTATTAATCATAATAATTGTAGTAAAATGTTGAATATTCATTGTAAAATTAAAAAAATAATAAACTCTGAGTTGAATTGTGGTGTGATTAAGTAGGTGACGTGTTATACGATAAGTTTATTCATAAAAGGTACCATTGAATGTAGTAAAATGGTAATAAGCAATAATAGCAGCGCTTAAAACACATGACATAAATGTATCTCTGAGGATCTATCATTGCTATTTAATCTACGTGTAATGTACAACACCCGTCGTATAACAATACAGATGAAGATGCTTATTATTTTGTAGGACCGACAAGTAAAGGATAGTATGGAAGTTGGAGAATGCAGTTGAACTGCTGCCGCAGAAACGCCAAGATGAAGAAGCAATTATTCTAATGGAGGCTCTTCTGGTGTGAGAGATTCTGCGCGGGGAATTGGGAGATACGACGACTGAGACAAGTGAGGTAATCCATGAATAATTTTCTCATGCCCTTCGCATGCTTCGTTATATCTTATACCTGTTAATATTATGCTAAACTTGGTAATCCTTAAATGCTATTTCCACCACTCTAAAATACATTGTCATAATGTATATACGTGTAAATTAGGTTTTGAATATTTTAATGTTCTCCATACATTTTACATAAAACAATTTATATAATATTTGAATTGGAAAAATTTAATCACTTGAAACCATTTTTTAATAATTATTATTATTTACTTTTCAAGTAAGTGTCATTGCTGAAAAAATTATCTTTCAACTTGAGCTAAAATTCTCTGGTGGTAACTTAAATTTTTTTTTACTCTTTACGATCTTTCATGTATACTTATACATAACATTTTTAAAATGTACAAAGAGTAATGACAGTGGAAAGGGGTTGTTGGTTTTAATGTAGAAATATTAGTGTAAAAGGTTGAAGGTAAGAAAAGAGTAGGTAGATACGAGGGTTGATGGTTGGGTGGTTTGTTGGTTGGTTGGCAAATGCTCGGAAGGG